GGTTCGGGCCGATGGGCGCAAACTCCCATGTGAAATTCAACGAGTCCAGAAACTCGTTGGGTTCGGAGACGGAGTGGACGCGCCGGTCGCGCAGCAGCGTCACCGTCGAGCCGAAGCGCGCGGCGAGGCCCATGTAACCCACCTCGACCTCTGTTAGGAGCTCCTCGGAAGCACCCGGCTCAGCAGCATGGGCGCCAGGCTCAGGCCCGCCCGGCCCGTCAGCCTGCCGCCTTTCGAGCACGCGAGACGCGGTACACCACGGAAGGAAGTCGGCGTACCGAGCAACGTCGGAGACGGCACCGTAGATGGTCGGGACGGGGAACTGCACAACTTTCTGCTGCTCGAACGTGCGGTACTTTTGTCCCTTGGCGCTGAGACCTGGCAGGAACAAGCTTCGGCTGTGGATGCGAGCCGCCGGCAGTCTGGCGCCAATGCTCCTCACGCGCGCAGGCATTATCGCCCTTGGGGTGAGGCAGCCAACGCGGAACACCAGAGTGAAAGTTTCTCCTGGGCGCGAAAGAATTTTGTGCGGTTGCCATATCTCCTGATCGTCCTTACAAAATCCTGCTCGTGCAGGTGGGGACCCTGTCCTCCTCCCCTATCCCTCGTTTGCCTGTCTGTTTTCTTTCTTTCTTTCTTTGATCGTCCTTATCTCTGAGCACTTGAGCACTGGATAGGGTCGATTCCGCATGGTACGGGACCCCTCGATCGTCTCGCCCTCCCTCACTGGTGTGTTCATCGGGGGGGGGTCATAACAAACACGGTACAGGATCGAGGTGCACGCTGCCGAAGCAGTGTCGTCCCCCCTCTCCCCGACGGCGATGGCGGTGTGACCGATCGAGCTACAAGAGGAGCTTGGTCAGCAGGATCCGGGTGGGCGGAGCAGTACCTCACTTCCTCAATGGGTGAGCCTCAGAACCCCAGCAGTCTCGGACCCATCACCCCTCGGCTCGCGTGGATTCGAACCACCGCCGGGATGGAAGCTTCCTGCTTCCATCTGATTAGTTGTCCATTCAACCTGTGTCACCCGAAATCCATAGTGTCACTCTTATGGTTTTTTGAAATGTCGGCGGCGGCGTTGAGGGGACGGCGGCGGCGTCGGTGTCGAATGTGTAGGTGACGTAGCTGGAGATAGTATCGGCAGAGATCTCTCGGAGGTGGCGAGGTCGGCGGTGGCTGAGGCGGTGGCGACGGCGACTGTGGGGGTGTAGTGGGCGCCGACGGGAGCGGTGGCGGAGCCGAGGGCTGTGGAAGCGGCGCATGTACAGAGGCTATCGACGGAGGCATCGAAGGTGGGGCCGAGGGCGTCGGCCGCTCGTGAGCGGTGACGGACGCGTCGGCGGTGGGGAAGGTGGCGGAGGTGCGACAGCACCACAGAGGGCAGTGACGGAGACAGCAGCGACGGCGAGGCGGCGCCGGCGATGGTGGGGACGGTGAGGGCGGAGGGGGGGGGGGGGGGGAGAAACCGCAACCCCGGTGATAAAAACCGCGGCGGCGTGGTCCGCGGCAGCGATGGTGGAGGCGGTATAAGCGGTTTTTAAAGGGGCGGCCGAAAGTGAAACCA